TGGCTATGATTTTATATTTTGTTCCATTAAACCAGCTGTATATTTACAAGTGGTTTGGGGTTTTTTTCCCCATGCAATTAACAACAAACAAACAAATAAGCACTGTCATTTTTTTTTTCTTTTTTTTTTTCTTTCCCTTCTAACTGATTCTCCCATTTGGCTAAAATCACATCCTACAATAAATTGAGTAGTCTATTTATTAAATTGTTTACAGATGGTACAGGTAGACTCTACTAGAAAGCTGTTAAAATGGGCATTTTTAGCTAACTAGCTTATGTTGATTTTATGTGAAAAGATCAGATAGGAAAACAAAATGAAATGCATAAAAAGGAGGAAATCAGACCATCTGGGCATTTACAGCAGTGAAATGCTGCCCATAAATTAGAGATCATGATATCCCCTTTCCCTCTCTCTCTTCCTCATTACTAAGGAATGGTTGGAAAGGTTTGCATTTTCAAAGAATTCCAGACCTAGGATACTATTGTAGGAAACTGTCAGTGAAATGACAGATTTCCTTTTATTGCTGAATGAAAGACAAACATACATCTTATTTCTTCTCATCTTTGCAGAATGTCTTCCAAACTCAGCTACAAAACTACGTGATTTAAATTAGATTTTAGATAAATCCACTTATAGTAAAACTGTTCAGAATCATAAATTGTTATTACAATAACAAAAGAAAATATATGGACAAGTGACAGTAGATGAGGCTAATAAAATTAAGAAGTCAGCAAGGCTACACAGAGCTTTAAAGGAATTCAAGGCTGAAATAGCTGACTCTTACTTAAAATTCTTACCTGAGATTAGAGTGCCATTTTTTCCACAAAATTGTTCCAGGAGAGATTCGAAAACAACAAGCCTGTCAGCCTGATATCTGTACAAAACAAATAGATGGAAACTACAGTATGGAAAAGTGGACATCTGGATAAATATAACTTATCTGGGAAGAGTTGAAATGGTTTCCATAAAAGGAAGTCCTGCCTCACAAACATAAGGCAGTCCTTTGAGGGGATCAAAAAACATGTGGATAAGTGATCTGATTGATCTTGGATTTACAAAACGCTTTCGACAAATTCCTTCCCCAAAGGCTTCTAAGAAAACTAAGCAGCCATACTATAACATGCCTTAGAAATATAAAGTGATACACATGGGGAAAAAAAACCCATAAATTCACATACAAAACAATGGGGTTTGAACTATCATCAGACAACATTTTAAACTTTTAAAAGATAGTTCCATGAAAACATCTACTCAGTAGCATCTGAAAAAGCAAATCAAATGCTAGAAATGTTTGGGTTAGCAAATAGTGAACAAAAGAAATATCATCATGCTATGGTAAAAATGCCAACTTTGCAGCCCGAAGATGGTGTGGCATTCCAGGCCTTCACCTCAAAAAGGATATAGAACGACAGAGGATGCAAAGAAAGGCAAGGAGGATAATGAAAGTTGTGAGACACCTTCTGTATAAAGAATGACTATTCTACTTTTCCATTGAGAAAGGTGACTGAGACGGATATGTAAGAGATCTATGAAATAAGTGCCTGGAAAGTGTGGGTGAGGATTGCTCAGTCAGTTTCCTCTGTTCCAAGAAGCGGGGAACATCAAATCAATCTGTAGGATCCAGATTCAAATAAGAAATGGTGATTCATTCTGATATAGTGTAGTTAAGGATGACTTCCTACGAGAAGCTATAGATGTTTAGAGTTACAGACTTCACATGTTTCTCTTACTGTGAAGCAAGCAACAAGATCTCTCTCAGAAGAAAAAAAAAAAGCAGCAATTTGTTTGGAATCATTGTTATAAACCCCCAGAGCAATGACTAAACGACTGTTTTATCATCTTACACAGTCATGTTTTATGGTCAAAGGAGATAGAAGCATCTATATCTAGTACAAATTACCATAAAATACATGATCATTCAAATGCAGGGGTGCTTCTCCTTTATTTTTTTTCTACAGTAAGTATACGAAGAAGTTTAGAAACAGAGATCATAGAATCACAGAATAGTTAGGGTTGGAAAGGACGTTAAGA